TCTACTACAAAAATTAGCTGGGCGTGGTGGCGCATGCCTGTAATCCCAGCTACTCAGGAGAATCGCTTGAACCCAGGAGGTGGAGGTTGCAGTGAGCCAAGACTGTGTCACTGCACTCTAGCCTGGGTGACAGAGCTAGACTCCATTTCAAAAAAAAAAAGAATTCATCTGTTTTGTTCATAACTATATAATCAGAGGGCCTAGTACAATGTCTGTTTCATTACAGTTTTTGAAGGAATGAAATTAAATGTCCAACCGTAGGGCAATACTTAAACTGTGATATGTCCATACCATTGGCTTCTGTACAAATAAAAAGGGAAGAAAAAGAGGTGGTATTTTTCCTGCCACCTATAGAATTGTGCACAAAGAATGCTTATTTTAATTTAGTGCAATCAAATATAGTATGGAAACCAAATCTTTCTGTAAATATTGCAAAGTCAAACACTAATTTTTAAAAATAACCTGTGCCCTTCCTCCTTTCTACACTACCATAGTAGATCTGCTACAGACCTACCTCCTTGGAATTTATGTCAGTTCAGAAAATGTGTTTAAAGGTTTGTTTATTCAGGACAACTCCAAAGACCACAGTATATATATATGTTCTCATCTATTCATATAAAGTTAGACATGCTGCCCTCCAACTTTTCAATGAGAAATATAAGCACTTAACCTTCTATAAGAACAGATATTCGGCTGGGCCCAGTTGCTCACACCTATAATCCCAACACTCTGGGATGCCAAGGTGGGCGGGTCATGATGTCAGGAGTTCGAGACCAGCCTGGACAACATTGTGAAACCCCAACCCTACCAAAAATACTAAAGTTAGCCAGTCATGGTGGTGTGCGCCTGTAATCCCAGCTACTCAGGAGGCTGAGGCAGGAGAAACACTTGAACCCAGGAGGCGGAGGTTGCAGTGAGCTGAGATCACGCCATTTCACTCCAGCCTGGGAGACAGAGCAAGACTCCATCCCAAAAAGAAAAAAAATAATAACAGATATTCATGCGACCCTTCCTACATCCACCTCACCACAAGATCAGAGATGGATGTCCCCGCTCCTAAGGCAACCGTTTCACACACGCATCACATCCCAGCCCTTCTCACCTAATCCTCCCAATTGCAGGAACGTCCCCGCAGTGATCCTCCCTTCTCACCTCTTGGTACTCTACTGCATCATTCCAACTGGCATACAACAAACTCTATTATTTCTTCAAACCTAAAAGAATCTGAACTCTGCTTTTCCTAACAGGTACTATCCTTTTTCCTTGCTGCCCGTAGCAGCAAAACTCTAAAGTGTTATCTATAGTGTATTCTCTGTGGCCAGTTTCTCTCCTAAACCCACTGCAATCAGGGTTTCATTCCCACCATTCCATCGAAATTGCTATCCTCAAGATCACCAGTAACTCTATGTTGCTAAGCCAATTCTTCATCTTCGTGTTTCTTTTTTTTTTGAGACGGAGTTTCACTCATGTTGCCCAGGCTGGAGTGCAATGGCGCGATCTCGGCTCACCGCAACCTCCGCCTCCTGGGTTCAGGCAATTCTCCTGCCTCAGCCTCCTGAGTAGCTGGGATTACAGGCACGCACCACC